CTGTGGATTCTTGACAGCTATCCTGAAACCTCCTCTTGCAATTCCACATTTTGTGAAAACAAATGTTTTCCCGGAAGTGCATACAGCATTGCTGGATAAACTGTGCATGGAACTTGACTGACTTTGAGGGCTTCATATACAAAGGCATTTGAGATTCAGTGCTGAAAACATTCTACAACAAGAAGCTGTTCTTTCAGACATTTGTGTGGCTGTGATAGTATAGTGGTTAGTACTCTGCGTTGTGGCCGCAGTAACTCCGGGTCATGGCACAAATGGCAAACAGAATACCTTGTTTGAGATTCCTCTTGGCTTCACCAGCCTCCCCTTTGATCATCATAGTTTTAGAATGCACACTACCTGTCCTTTGATCATCATAGTAGATCATCATAGTTTTAGAATGCACACTACCCAGGACTCACCCATTTACTTTACTGACATTTTCAACATACCGTTCTACAGAGTACAGACACATTGCCTTTGCATGCAGCACTGTGAAAGATCATGTCACAGTGGGCTAGTGGCGCAATGGATAACGCGTCTGACTACGGATCAGAAGATTCTAGGTTCGACTCCTGGCTAGCTCGTTGAGAATTTTAACCAGTGTAAATCAGTTCTTCCTCGTACTTCTCCACAACCGAAAATAATCAACTGACACAGTTACGCTGCATTCCAACATGTCCCTGTGGATTCTTGACAGCTATCCTGAAACCTTCTCTTGCAAGTCCACATTTTTTGAAAACAAATGTTTTCCCAGAAGTGCATACAGCATTGCTGGATAAAATGTGCGTGGAACTTGACTGACTTTGAGGAAGGGCTTCAGATACAAAGGCATTTGAGATTCAGTGCTGAAAACATTCTACAACAAGAAGCTGTTCTTTCGGTTCTAGGTTCAACTCCTGGCTAGCTCGTTGAGAGTTTTAACAAGTGTAAATCAGTTCTTCCTCATACTTCTCCACAACCGAAAATAGTCAACTGACACAGTTACGCTGCATTCCAACATGTCCCTGTGGATTCTTGACAGCTATCCTGAAACCTCCTCTTGCAACTCCACATTTTGTGAAAACAAATGTTTTCCCGGAAGTGCATACAGCATTGCTGGATAAACTGTGCATGGAACTTGACTGACTTTGAGGGCTTCAGATACAAAGGCATTTGAGATTCAGTGCTGAAAACATTCTACAACAAGAAGCTGTTCTTTTAGGCATTTGTGTGGCTGTGATAGTATAGTGGTTAGTACTCTGCGTTGTGGCTGCAGTAACCCCGGTTCGAATCCGGGTCATGGCACAAATGGCAATCAGAATACCTTGTTTGAGATTCCTCTTGGCTTCACCAGCCTCCCCTTTGATCATCATAGTTTTAGAATGCACACTACCTGTCCTTTGATCATCATAGTTTTAGAATGCACACTACCTGTCCTTTGATCATCATAGTAGATCATCATAGTTTTAGAATGCACACTACCCAGGACTCACCCATTTACTTTACTGACATTTTCAACATACCGTTCTACAGAGTACAGACACATTGCCTTTGCATGCAGCACTGTGAAAGATCATGTCACAGTGGGCTAGTGGCGCAATGGATAATGCGTCTGACTACGGATCAGAAGATTCTAGGTTCGACTCCTGGCTAGCTCGTTGAGAGTTTTAACCAGTGTAAATCAGTTCTTCCTCGTACTTCTCCACAACCGAAAAGAATCAACTGACACAGTTACGCTGCATTCCAACATGTCCCTGTGGATTCTTGACAGCTATCCTGAAACCTCCTCTTGCAAGTCCACATTTCGTGAAAACAAATGTTTTCCCGGAAGGGAAACTACCCAGGACTCACCCATTGCTGGATAAAATGTGCATGGAACTTGACTGACTTTGAGGAAGGTCTTCAGATACAAATGCATTTGAGATTCAGTGCTGAAAACATTCTACAACAAGAAGCTGTTCTTTCAGGCATTTGTGTGGCTGTGATAGTTTAGTGGTTAGTACTCTGCGTTGTGGCTGCAGTAATCCCGGTTTGAATCCGGGTCATGGCACAAATGGCAAACAGAATACCTTGTTTGAGATTCCTCTTGGCTTCACCAGCCTCCCCTTTGATCATCATAGTTTTAGAATGCACACTTCCTGTCCTTTGATCATCATAGTTTTAGAATGCACACTACCTGTCCTTTGATCATCATAGTAGATCGTTCTACAGAGTACAGACACATTGCCTTTGCATGCAGCACTGTGAAAGCTCATGTCACAACGCGTCTGACTACGGATCAGAAGATTCTAGGTTCGACTCCTGGATAATGCGTCTGACTACGGATCAGAAGATTCTAGGTTCGACTCCTGGCTAGCTCGTTGAGAGTTTTAACCAGTGTAAATCAGTTCTTCCTCGTACTTCTCCACAACCGAAAAGAATCAACTGACACAGTTATGCTGCATTCCAACATGTCCCTGTGGATTCTTGACAGCTATCCTGAAACCTCCTCTTGCAAGTCCACATTTTGTGAAAACAAATGTTTTCCCAGAAGTGCATACAGCATTGCTGGATAAAATGTGCGTGGAACTTGACTGACTTTGAGGAAGGGCTTCAGATACAAAGGCATTTGAGATTCAGTGCTGAAAACATTCTACAACAAGAAGCTGTTCTTTCGGTTCTAGGTTCAACTCCTGGCTAGCTCGTTGAGAGTTTTAACAAGTGTAAATCAGTTCTTCCTCATACTTCTCCACAACCGAAAATAGTCAACTGACACAGTTTCGCTGCATTCCAACATGTCCCTGTGGATTCTTGACAGCTATCTTGAAACCTCCTCTTGCAACTCCACATTTTGTGAAAACAAATGTTTTCCCGGAAGTGCATACAGCATTGCTGGATAAACTGTGCATGGAACTTGACTGACTTTGAGGGCTTCAGATACAAAGGCATTTGAGATTCAGTGCTGAAAACATTCTACAACAAGAAGCTGTTCTTTCAGGCATTTGTGTGGCTGTGATCGTATAGTGGTTAGTACTCTGCGTTGTGGCCGCAGTAACTCCGGGTCATGGCACAAATGGCAAACAGAATACCTTGTTTGAGATTCCTCTTGGCTTCACCAGCCTCCCCTTTGATCATCATAGTTTTAGAATGCACACTACCTGTCCTTTGATCATCATAGTAGATCATCATAGTTTTAGAATGCACACTACCCAGGACTCACCCATTTACTTTACTGACATTTTCAACATACCGTTCTACAGAGTACAGACACATTGCCTTTGCATGCAGCACTGTGAAAGATCATGTCACAGTGGGCTAGTGGCGCAATGGATAACGCGTCTGACTACGGATCAGAAGATTCTAGGTTCGACTCCTGGCTAGCTCGTTGAGAATTTTAACCAGTGTAAATCAGTTCTTCCTCGTACTTCTCCACAACCGAAAATAATCAACTGACACAGTTACGCTGCATTCCAACATGTCCCTGTGGATTCTTGACAGCTATCCTGAAACCTCCTCTTGCAAGTCCACATTTTTTGAAAACAAATGTTTTCCCAGAAGTGCATACAGCATTGCTGGATAAAATGTGCGTGGAACTTGACTGACTTTGAGGAAGGGCTTCAGATACAAAGGCATTTGAGATTCAGTGCTGAAAACATTCTACAACAAGAAGCTGTTCTTTCGGTTCTAGGTTCAACTCCTGGCTAGCTCGTTGAGAGTTTTAACAAGTGTAAATCAGTTCTTCCTCATACTTCTCCACAACCGAAAATAGTCAACTGACACAGTTACGCTGCATTCCAACATGTCCCTGTGGACTCTTGACAGCTATCCTGAAACCTCCTCTTGCAACTCCACATTTTGTGAAAACAAATGTTTTCCCGGAAGTGCATACAGCATTGCTGGATAAACTGTGCATGGAACTTGACTGACTTTGAGGGCTTCAGATACAAAGGCATTTGAGATGCAGTGCTGAAAACATTCTACAACAAGAAGCTGTTCTTTCAGGCATTTGTGTGGCTGTGATCGTATAGTGGTTAGTACTCTGCGTTGTGGCCGCAGTAACCCCAGTTCGAATCCAGGTCATGGCACAAATGGCAAACAGAATACCTTGTTTGTGGTTCCTCTTTGCTTCACCAGCCTCTCCTTTGATCATCATAGTTTTAGAATGCACACTACCTGTCCTTTGATCATCATAGTAGATCATCATAGTTTTAGAATGCACACTACCCAGGACTCACCCATTTACTTTACTGACATTTTCAACATACCGTTCTACAGAGTACAGACACATTGCCTTTGCATGCAGCACTGTGAAAGATCATGTCACAGTGGGCTAGTGGCGCAATGGATAACGCGTCTGACTACGGATCAGAAGATTCTAGGTTCGACTCCTGGCTAGCTCGTTGAGAATTTTAACCAGTGTAAATCAGTTCTTCCTCGTACTTCTCCACAACCGAAAATAATCAACTGACACAGTTACGCTGCATTCCAACATGTCCCTGTGGATTCTTGACAGCTATCCTGAAACCTCCTCTTGCAAGTCCACATTTTTTGAAAACAAATGTTTTCCCAGAAGTGCATACAGCATTGCTGGATAAAATGTGCGTGGAACTTGACTGACTTTGAGGAAGGCTTCAGATACAAAGGCATTTGAGATTCAGTGCTGAAAACATTCTACAACAAGAAGCAACAAGAAGCTGTTCTTTCAGGCATTTGTGTGGCTGTGATAGTTAGTGGTTAGTACTCTGCGTTGTGGCCGCAGTAACCCGGTTCGAATCCGGGTCATGGCACAAATGGCAAACAGAATACCTTGTTTGGTTCCTCTTTGGCTTCACCAGCCTCCCTTTGATCATCATAGTTTTAGAATGCACACTACCTGTCCTTTGATCATCATAGTTTTAGAATGCACACTACCTGTCCTTTGATCATCATAGTAGATCACACTACCCAGGACTCACCATTTACTTTACTGACATTTTCACATACGTTTACAGAGTACAGACACATTGCCTTGCATGCAGCACTGTGAAAGATCATGTCACAGTGGGCTAGTGGCGCAATGGGATAAAGCGTCTGACTACGGATCAGAAGATTCTAGGTTCGACTCCTGGCTAGCTCGTTGAGAGTTTTAACCAGTGTAAATCAGTTCTTCTCGTACTTCTCCACAACCGAAAAGAATACTGACACAGTTACGCTGCATTCCAACATGTCCTGTGGATTCTTGACAGCTATCCTGAAACCTCCTCTTGCAAGTCCACATTTCGTGAAAACAAATGTTTTCCCGGAAGGGAAATACCCAGGACTCACCCATTGCTGGATAAAATGTGCATGGAACTTGACTGACTTTGAGGAAGGGCTTCAGATACAAATGCATTTGAGATTCAGTGCTGAAAACATTCTAACAACAAGAAGCTGTTCTTTCAGGCATTTGTGTGGCTGTGATAGTTTAGTGGTTAGTACTCTGCGTTGTGGCTGCAGTAATCCCGTTTTGAATCCGGGTCATGGCACAAATGGCAAACAGAATACCTTGTTTTGAGATTCCTCTTGGCTTCACCAGCCTCCTTTGATCATCATAGTTTTAGAATGCACACTTCCTGTCCTTTGATCATCATAGTTTTAGAATGCACACTACCTGTCCTTTGATCATCATAGTAGATCATCATAGTTTTAGAATGACACTACATTGCCTTTGCTTTATGCAGCAACATGTTCTAAAGTACATGCACATGCTGTGCGGATGTGAAAGATTCTATGTCGACTCCTGGAAATGCGCGTCTGACTACGGATCAGAAGATTCTAGGTTCGACTCCTGGCTAGCTCGTTGAGAGTTTTAACCAGTGTAAATCAGTTCTTCCTCGTACTTCTCCACAACCGAAAAGAATCAACTGACACAGTTACGCTGCATTCCAACATGTCCCTGTGGATTCTTGACAGCTATCCTGAAACCTCCTCTTGCAAGTCCACATTTCGTGAAAACAAATGTTTTCCCGGAAGGGAAACTACCCAGGACTCACCCATTGCTGGATAAAATGTGCATGGAACTTGACTGACTTTGAGGAAGGTCTTCAGATACAAAGGCATTTGAGATTCAGTGCTGAAAACATTCTACAACAAGAAGCTGTTCTTTCGGTTCTAGGTTCAACTCCTGGCTAGCTCGTTGAGAGTTTTAACAAGTGTAAATCAGTTCTTCCTCATACTTCTCCACAACCGAAAAGAATCAACTGACACAGTTACGTTGCATTCCAACATGTCCCTGTGGATTCTTGACAGCTATCCTGAAACCTCCTCTTGCAAGTCCACATTTCGTGAAAACAAATGTTTTCCCGAAGGGAAACTACCCAGGACTCACCCATTGCTGGATAAAATGTGCGTGGAACTTGACTGACTTTGAGAAGGGCTTCAATACAAAGGCATTTGAGATTCAGTGCTGAAAACATTCTACAACAAGAAGCTGTTCTTTCGGTTCTAGGTTCAACTCCTGGCTAGCACGTTGAGAGTTTTAACCAGTGTAAATCAGTTCTTCCTCGTACTTCTCCACAACCGAAAATAATCAACTGACACAGTTATGCTGCATTCCAACATGCCCTGTGGATTCTTGACAGCTATCCTGAAACCTCCTCTTGCAAGTCCACATTTTGTGAAAACAAATGTTTTCCCAGAAGTGCATACAGCATTGCTGGATAAAATGTGCGTGGAACTTGAATGACTTTGAGGAAGGCTTAGATACAAAGGCATTTGAGATTCAGTGCTGAAAACATTCTACAACAAGAAGCTGTTCTTTCAGGCATTTGTGTGGCTGTGATAGTTTAGTTTAGTACTCTGCGTTGTGGCTGCAGTAATCCCGGTTTGAATCCGGGTCATGGCACAAATGGCAAACAGAATACCTTGTTTGAGATTCCTCTTGGCTTCACCAGCCTCCCTTTGATCATCATAGTTTTAGAATGCACACTCCTGTCCTTTGATCATCATAGTTTTAGAATGCACACTACCTGTCCTTTGATCATCATAGTAGATCGTTCTACAGAGTACAGACACATTGCCTTTGCATGCAGCACTGTGAAAGCTCATGTCACAACGCGTCGGACTACAGATCAGAAGATTCTAGGTCGACTCCTGGATAATGCGTCTGACTACGGATCAGAAGATTCTAGTTCGACTCCTGGCTAGCTCATTGAGAGTTTTAACCAGTGTAAATCAGTTCTTCCTCGTACTTCTCCACAACCGAAAAGAATCAACTGACACAGTTACGTTGCATTCCAACATGTCCCTGTGGATTCTTGACAGCTATCCTGAAACCTCCTCTTGCAAGTCCACATTTCGTGAAAAAAAATGTTTTCCCGGAAGGGAAACTACCAGGACTCACCATTGCGATAAAATGTGCGTGGAACTTGACTGACTTTGAGGAAGGGCTTCAGATACAAAGGCATTTGAGATTCAGTGCTGAAAACATTCTACAACAAGAAGCTGTTCTTTCGGTTCTAGGTTCAACTCCTGGCTAGCACGTTGAGAGTTTTAAACCAGTGTAAATCAGTTCTTCCTCGTACTTCTCCACAACCGAAAATAATCAACTGACACAGTTATGCTGCATTCCAACATGTCCCTGTGGATTCTTGACAGCTATCCTGAAACCTCCTCTTGCAAGTCCACATTTTGTGAAAACAAATGTTTTCCCAGAAGTGCATACAGCATTGCTGGATAAAATGTGCGTGGAACTTGAATGACTTTGAGGAAGGGCTTCAGATACAAAGGCATTTGAGATTCAGTGCTGAAAACATTCTACAACAAGAAGCTGTTCTTTCGGTTCTAGGTTCAACTCCTGGCTAGCTCGTTGAGAGTTTTAACAAGTGTAAATCAGTTCTTCCTCATACTTCTCCACAACCGAAAAGAATCAACTGACACAGTTACGTTGCATTCCAACATGTCCCTGTGGATTCTTGACAGCTATCCTGAAACCTCCTCTTGCAAGTCCACATTTCGTGAAACAAATGTTTTCCCGGAAGGAAACTACCCAGGACTCACCCATTGCTGGATAAAATGTGCGTGGAACTTGACTGACTTTGAGGAAGGGCTTCAGATAAAAGGCATTTGAGATTCAGTGCTGAAAACATTCTACAACAAGAAGCTGTTCTTTCGGTTCTAGGTTCAACTCCTGGCTAGCACGTTGAGAGTTTTAACCAGTGTAAATCAGTTCTTCCTCGTACTTCTCCACAACCGAAAATAATCAACTGACACAGTTATGCTGCATTCCAACATGTCCCTGTGGATTCTTGACAGCTATCCTGAAACCTCCTCTTGCAAGTCCACATTTTGTGAAAACAAATGTTTTCCCAGAAGTGCATACAGCATTGCTGGATAAAATGTGCGTGGAACTTGAATGACTTTGAGGAAGGGCTTCAGATACAAAGGCATTTGAGATTCAGTGCTGAAAACATTCTACAACAAGAAGCTGTTCTTTCGGTTCTAGGTTCAACTCCTGGCTAGCTCGTTGAGAGTTTTAACAAGTGTAAATCAGTTCTTCCTCATACTTCTCCACAACCGAAAATAGTCAACTGACACAGTTACGCTGCATTCCAACATGTCCCTGTGGATTCTTGACAGCTATCTTGAAACCTCCTCTTGCAACTCCACATTTTGTGAAAACAAATGTTTTCCCGGAAGTGCATACAGCATTGCTGGATAAACTGTGCATGGAACTTGACTGACTTTGAGGGCTTCAGATACAAAGGCATTTGAGATTCAGTGCTGAAAACATTCTACAACAAGAAGCTGTTCTTTCAGGCATTTGTGTGGCTGTGATAGTATAGTGGTTAGTACTCTGCGTTGTGGCTGCAGTAATCCCGGTTTGAATCCGGGTCATGGCACAAATGGCAAACAGAATACCTTGTTTGAGTTCCTCTTTGCTTCACCAGCCTCCCTTTGATCATCATAGTTTTAGAATGCACACTACCTGTCCTTTGATCGTCATAGTTTTAGAATGCACACTACCTGTCCTTTGATCATCATAGTAGATCATCATAGTTTTAGAATGCACACTACCCAGGACTCACCCATTTACTTTACTGACATTTTCAACATACCGTTCTACAGAGTACAGACACATTGCCTTTGCATGCAGCACTGTGAAAGGTCATGTCACAGTGGGCTAGTGGCGCAATGGATAAAGCGTCTGACTACGGATCAGAAGATTCTAGGTTCAACTCCTGGCTAGCTCGTTGAGAGTTTTAACCAGTGTAAATCAGTTCTTCCTCGTACTTCTCCACAACCGAAAGAATCAACTGACACAGTTACGCTGCATTCCAACATGTCCCTGTGGATTCTTGACAGCTATCCTGAAACCTCCTCTTGCAAGTCCACATTTCGTGAAAACAAATGTTTTCCCGGAAGGGAAACTACCAGGACTCACCCATTGCTGGATAAAATGTGCATGGAACTTGACTGACTTTGAGGAAGGTCTTCAGATACAAATGCATTTGAGATTCAGTGCTGAAAACATTCTCCAACAAGAAGCTGTTCTTTCAGGCATTTGTGGGCTGTGATAGTTTAGTGGTTAGTACTCTGCGTTGTGGCTGCAGTAATCCCGGTTTGAATCCGGGTCATGGCACAAATGGCAAACAGAATACCTTGTTTGAGATTCCTCTTGGCTTCACCAGCCTCCCTTTGATCATCATAGTTTTAGAATGCACACTTCCTGTCCTTTGATCATCATAGTTTTAGAATGCACACTACCTGTCCTTTGATCATCATAGTAGATCGTTCTACAGAGTACAGACACATTGCCTTTGCATGCAGCACTGTGAAAGCTCATGTCACAACGCGTCGGACTACGGATCAGAAGATTCTAGGTTCGACTCCTGGATAATGCGTCTGACTACGGATCAGAAGATTCTAGGTTCGACTCCTGGCTAGCTCGTTGAGAGTTTTAACCAGTGTAAATCAGTTCTTCCTCGTACTTCTCCACAACCGAAAAGAATCAACTGACACAGTTACGTTGCATTCCAACATGTCCCTGTGGATTCTTGACAGCTATCCTGAAACCTCCTCTTGCAAGTCCACATTTCGTGAAAACAAATGTTTTCCCGGAAGGAAACTACCCAGGACTCACCCATTGCTGGATAAAAT